CACCTGTGCTCCGCTGGCTTCTTTCCTGAAAATAATCCTTAGCTCTTGGAGTCCCATGCAGGAAAAGATAGACTAGAATAGCTTGCTGGACATAATTGTTTTTGTGTTTCTAACACCAATAGACAATTTGAAGAGGGATGCAAGCTCTTGTTTGCTGAATGTTAAATACAGCAGCCAATAGAACTCGGGCAGTTTAAAAGAAGAGCGAATGTGCGATGGCGGTAGGCTATAGCAGTTATTTATTCAGACCCATAACCATTCAATCTTCGTGAAGAGAAGTGAAAGCCTTCTGCATCTAATTCTAGTCCTATATTATTCTGGGATGTCATTAGAAAGATGAAGATATGGACAACAAAACGTATTTCATTTAACCTCTACAGGATCGGTGTCCCATATACGGGACGGTTGAGCTAATGTGCGCTAATGTGATTAGCATGATTGTATGGGCAGAAAGCTTACATTCTTGTTAATCTAACTGCACTGTCCAATTTACAGTAGCTATTACAGTGAAAAATACCATGCTATTGTTTGAGGAGAGTGCACAACAATTCAGTAATCTTGCTCTGATTTGTCATCCTAAAGGTCCCAGAGATAAAATGTATCATAGTTTTGTTAGATAAAATCAATTGCTATATTCAAATGTAGGAACTGGGTTCTACAATTTGAACCCCTGCTATCTCTGTCTCCACACCCACCCCGCCCGGCCATCTAGATGTGTGAAAGTTAGTGTATAAGCTAATGATCCATCATGTATGACATTCCTGGGAGTGTGTAAACTTACATTTTGTATTACCATATCATTTTTGTATGTTCTCTAAAGTTATGTACTTGAAAATGTATCAATTGACCAATTCGGCACATTTGGGCAGACTTGATACAAAATAGTCCAGTATTGCAATGCTTCACTGGATCAATCTGAAACTTTGCGCACTCACTGCTGCCATCTAGTGGCCAAAATCTAAATTGCGCCTAAACTGCAATATTATATTGTGGCCTTTCTCTTGCATTTCAAAGATGATGGAACAAAAAATTAATAGAAAACACATGTTTTTTTGTTTGTATTATCTTTTACCAGATCTAATGTGCTATATTCTCCTACATTAATTTCACATTTCCACAAACTTCAAGGTGTTTCCTTTCAAATAGTATCAAGAATATGCATATCCTTGCTTCAAGTCCTGAGCTACAGGCAGTTAGATTTGGGTATGTCATTTTAGGCGAGAATTGAAAAAAGGGTCTGATCCTTAAGAGGTTAACTCTTGAACACGAGGAAGGAATGAACAATAAAGAGAAAAAGAGGAGGTAGGCTAGTAACATTAGGGGAAATACAGTATTATGAAAGGTATATATGCGCCAGCCTACTAATTATACATATAGGCCCTATTATATTTCAAAATCCTTACTTTTGTGACGAGTACTGAGGATACGAAGAGGCAGGACGCAGACGCAGGAATCAACAACGTAAAGGTTTACTTAACACTGAGCAAGAGAACAACAAAGAGCGAGTACACGATATGACACTAACAATCACACACAACACAACACTGAACAGTCCAGGGCTATATAGGGGTGGTGATGAGATGATGAGGTGCAGGTGCGCTGGAGGTGATTAGGGTGGGTTGGGTTTCCATTCTGGTGTTGCCAAGGTGGTGCGCTCAGACCGGTGGCTCAGTAGACCGGCGAATCAGAGCGCCTGAGGGGAGCAACGGGAGGAGACGTGACAACTTTTAACTCTGTAGGTTTTACAGTGGGGAAAACAAGTATTTAGTCAGCCACCAATTGTGCAAGTTCTCCCACTTAAAAAGATGAGAGAGGCCTGTAATTTTCATCATAGGTACACGTCAACCATGACAGACAAAAGTTTCTCAATACTTTGTTATATACCCTTTGTTGGCAATGACACAGGTCAAACGTTTTCTGTAAGTCTTCACAAGGTTTTCACACACTGTTGCTGGTATTTTGGCCCATTCCTCCATGCAGATCTCCTCTAGAGCAGTGATGTTTTGGGGCTGTCGCTGGGCAACACGGACTTTCAACTCCCTCCAAAGATTTTCTATGGGGTTGAGATCTGGAGACTGGCTAGGCCACTCCAGGACCTTGAAATGCTTCTTACGAAGCCACTCCTTCGTTGCCCGGGCGTTGTGTTTGGGATCATTGTCATGCTGAAAGACCCAGCCACGTTTAATCTTCAATGCCCTTGCTGATGGAAGGAGGTTTTCACTCAAAATCTCACGATACATGGCCCCATTCATTCTTTCCTTTACACGGATCAGTCGTCCTGGTCCCTTTGCAGAAAAACAGCCCCAAAGCATGATGTTTCCACCCCCATGCTTCACAGTAGGTATGGTGTTCTTTGGATGCAACTCAGCATTCTTTGTCCTCCAAACACGACGAGTTGAGTTTTTACCAAAAATATCTATTTTGGTTTCATCTGACCATATGACATTCTCCCAATCCTCTTCTGGATCATCCAAATGCACTCTAGCAAACTTCAGACGGGCCTGGACATGTATTGGTTTAAGCAGGGGGACACGTCTGGCACTGCAGGATTTGAGTCCCTGACGGCATAGTGTGTTACTGATGGTAGGCTTTGTTACTTTGGTCCCAGCTCTCTGCAGGTCATTCACTAGGTCCCCCCGTGTGGTTCTGGGATTTTTGCTCACCGTTCTTGTGATCATTTTGACCCCACGGGGTGAGATCTTGCGTGGAGCCCCAGATCGAGGGAGATTATCAGTGGTCTTGTATGTCTTCCATTTCCTAATAATTGCTCCCACAGTTGATTTCTTCAAACCAAGCTGCTTACCTATTGCAGATTCAGTCTTCCCAGCCTGGTGCAGGTCTACAATTTTGTTTCTGGTGTCCTTTGACAGCTCTTTGGTCTTGGCCATAGTGGAGTTTGGAGTGTGACTGTTTGAGGTTGTGGACAGGTGTCTTTTATACTGATAACAAGTTCAAACAGGTGCCATTAATACAGGTAACGAGTGGAGGACAGAGGAGCCTCTTAAAGAAGAAGTTACAGGTCTGTGAGAGCCAGAAATCTTGCTTGTTTGTAGGTGACCAAATACTTATTTTCCACCATAATTTGCAAATAAATTCATTAAAAATCCTACAATGTGACTTTCTGAAAAAAAAAATCTAATTTTGTCTGTCATAATTGACGTGTACCTATGATGAAAATTACAGGCCTCTCTCATCTTTTTAAGTAGGAGAACTTGCACAATTGGTGGCTGACTAAATACTTTTTTTTCCCCACTGTATGTGCTGCACCAGAATCGCTTGTTCTCTCCCTGCTTTATCATGGTTTGAACGATGTGCGTAATTCCAGTCAATATAATACAGTATAATACAATGCAGTACAGTAATACAGTTCACACTCAAAAAGATTAGCCTACTGGAGCTAGTTTCATTTATTTACCCAAGAGAGCATATAGCTAGCTACATCAATGGGCTTTTATGTTTTTCTGTCGTGCGTAATGTGCAGTAGCCTATAGGCCTATCTTATATTGGATAACGGCACAATCATTTGGGCTTTTTTGGGCTTGGGCTCATTGAATGTCTTTAATGTAGAGCTCATAAAATGTATTTAATGTATGGCTCATCAGGCTCAAGTAGCATCAGGCTTGAATTTTCGATCAAAGCTCGAATCAAATCCAGACAGGCCTATTTACGTGCTTTATAATGCTTTTGAATGACAGTTCCGGTTTTGGCGGGAAGAACTGGGTTACCCGGGAGAAAAGTGATTTATTCTTGGGATGGAACATTTGTAAACATTCTCGGGGATGGAACATAAAAAATATTCAACCCTAGTGTGTGTACAGTATGTACTTACTCTAAAAAGGCTTCCAGAGTAGAACACAGGGCTGTGATTCAGTGGGGCCAGCAGTGCACCCAGACACAGGGACGGAGGTAGAGAGAGATGGAGGGACGGTTGTAGATGGAGAGAGAGAGAGAAATGGTAAATGTGATATATGGCCCCTGCTCCTCTGATGAGTGTAACCCATTAGGAATGGAGCCAAGCAGGCAGCCATGGCAGTAGGAGTGGAGGGGGACCATGATGACTAGGCTACAGTAGCCATGCTATGTTGTGTCTGGGGCTGGGGGCAAAGGAGCCACAGCCCAACCCATAACCACAGTGTATAATATACAATGACTGTAAATGAATGGACAGTTTGAATTCATTCCAAACATGGTGGGTGACGCCAGGGAGATGTTGGGAAGTGTCTACTATAGCATTCCCCATCCTTAGGGTCGGGGATTTTCCCTGACCATGTGAGAAACTCCTGGCCGTCCATACCCATCCCATATCGCAAGAAGGAGAATAAAGGGAGAATAAGAGAGAAAAGGGCAGAATAAACATTGATTTTCATCCCCCTTTCCCCCTCTAAGCTGAGCAATGATCCTGAGTGTGTCACACAGGAGGTCCAGCAGAGAGGATGTCTGCAGGATTGATTCCTATAAATTATTCATGATCATCAAATTGCTTGTTTTGTTTGCCTTTGCTGCTGTTTGGCTCTGTGAGAGGTGTTGCTGAGTGGCTATTCTCTCAGGATGGTCAGGTCTCTAGAAGCTGAAATCAGGGTTTTGTTAATTGTGTCAAATGTCATGATTAATGCATGCACTAGTAATGACCAGATTTTACTTTCTGCACATGCTGTACTGTATTGAGTCATCTTGTGTGTTTCCTGTACTTGATACTGTAGCTAATTTCATGAATAGTGTTGCATAGAGGACAGACTGAAACTGATACAGGGACAGTGTGTGGGTCCAGAACCTCCAGACAGAGGAAGCCTATAAACTGCATCTGAAACAGTCGTTGACTGAGCTCACGTTACACTAAAACCAAGAGTCAATCCCAGGAGGTCTTATTATCACAGTTCAAACGGGTTTCTGGTTCTAGTGGTCTGCCAGAACAGACAATAACTCTCTTCCAGGGGCTTTAAATGAATCGCTTATATCACCTGAGGTCTATCCTCTCTTCCCTGTGCCGGGTGGGTCTCCAGCCACCTCTACCCAGGGGAGGGAGGGGGGCCTCAGCCTCAGCTCCAGGGCAGGACGTGGTGTGTGTGTTGTCTGCCTCACCATGGCAACCCTGGAGCTGACACACACTATGTGTATGTGCCTGTCTCCCTCTCTGTCTGTCTCCCTCCCTGCCTGTCTCCATGCCTGTCTCCATGCCTGCCTGTCTCCCTCTCTGCCTGTCTCCCTCCCTGCCTGTCTCCCTGCCTGCCTGTCTCCCTCCCTACCTGTCTCCCTCCCTGCTTACATGTGTATTTGTATTAATGTGTGTATGTGTGTGTGTCTCGACTCTCCAGCCCGGTCCAAGAGCATGGTGATGGGGGATGTGTCCCGGGGCCCGTGCCGCCCGTCCTCCCCCAGTCTCCACGAGGGGGCTCTGAAGGCTGGCTGGCTGAAGAAACAGAGGAGCATCATGAAGAACTGGCAGCTGAGATGGTTTGTCCTGCGCTCTGACCAGCTCTACTTCTACAAAGACGAGGAGGAGACCAAGCCACAGGTATTGAACCTTTATTTGGTTTAATGTGGGACTTTCGCTATAGTAGCTACTGTCGCTGGTTCAGATCCTCTCCAATAATACTTTGCTGTGGTTTTTCATCCATTGCTTAGACAGACAGGTCAAATGGCCAATAGAACATTTTAAAAATTCTATATCACCACCTAGCATGGATAGATAGTATTGCCATCGTGCCCTGCCTAGAAGGAAAATCAATGTTGGTCATGACATGTTGACATGGTCATGAAAGAGCTACGAGGTAATCAGGCAGACGGTTGTTTCGGGACCACTACACAGCATCAAGCCAGGAAAGGGTAATGAAGTGATCCAACAAAAGACAGCAGGCGGTAGGCGGTGGCCCCATGCTTCCAGTGTTCAGTGATCATCTTCTTACATTCCCGGCCTGATATCCAAGCACCATTGATTTCCACTGGCGTTCCCACTTGACTGCTGCCCTTTTAAATGCAGACCTGTCTCCCCAACACACAAACACACACACACACACCATCGATGCCTTTCAGGTTGGAGAAGCTCTGCATTAAGGCCTGGATGAATGACTGAAGGGTTTGACTAGCACCTTTCAATCACAGGCTGTCAATAGTCATCCAGCCAGTATTGATTTCTCCACACACACACACATACACACACACACACCCCTCCCTGCGCGGTAACCAGGATGTGTGCAAAAGTGTCAATCTGGTCGCTTTTTTCCCATCTAACCAATAGGAATTGGAGCAGGGGGCTGTGTAAGCAATTCACACAGCAAGGTCTCACACTGAGATGAAAGGAAATTATAATTGAAAGAAGGGAATTTGCACAGAGGCAATCTATAGCCATTTCCTATCATGTAGAGCTGGCCGTTAAGGAATGGATTGGTGTTTAGAGCCATAAAGGATACTACAAGACATGTTTTGAAGGGAGAATAATCTCAGATCTTGAGTTACGTCTTGGTTTTCCTCAGTCATTTGTCCCCATATTCAAGGCACATTGTACCCTTGGGAGCTCTGCTGGGCTGCTAGCCCTACCCCAACATTATACCAATTTGTTGCCATGGCAACTACTGTGGACAGCTTGGCCTCTGGTTTGGCAGATCCCAGCCTGTTTGATGAGGGATGATGAGGGATGCTGCCAGACTGGTAGAATGAGACCGGCTTACCTTCTGAGTAGTCTCTAAATTAACAGGCCTTGATTACGTTGTTTAATTATTATTGATCTGCATTCAATAATCTGTACATCTTCATCCTGAAAGAGATAGATAGAGCTAGAGAGATCTTCTGTCTATGTTCTACCCTAATATTCTCATCAGGATTTTATCAATATTTGTGATTTAACCGATTAGAGTTTAATCTCACTGAGGTATCGTTAATATTTGGTTTTGAATGGATGGATTCCCTAATGCTGCTGATTCCTGTGGTTGAGTGAAATCCTTCTCTGTTTGTTTGTTCCAGGGCTGCATACCTCTGCAGGGCTGTCAGGTGAACGAGCTCACCGCCAACCCAGACGAACCAGGGAGACATCTTTTTGAAATCGTTCCAGGTGAGGTGATCCATCAACACCAAGCACTCTCCTTTTTTCACAGAAAATACACGTGTTGTCAAAGTCAGGCATCACTACACAGGGCTGACTCAAGTTTTTATGAGGAGGATATTAGCATATTGCAGTTTCCTCAATACCACACTAAGCCAGCAGGGGGTAATGCTGATGTTTCACAATGGAGACTGGAGATGCAGGACAAAGACACCATACTGACTGGTGGATAAGCTTGCACTCAATACACTGTGCAATTGCACTGAGTGTACAAAACATTAGGAACAACTTCCTAATATTATGTTGCACCCCTTTTTCCCTCAGAACAGCCTCAATTTGTCGGGGCATGGACTCTACAAGGTGTTGGAAGTGTTCCACAGGGATGCTGGCCCATGTTGACTCCAATGCTTCCCACAGTTGTGTTGGCTGGATGTCCTTTGGGTGGTGGATCATTCTTGATACACATGGGAAACTGTTGAGTGTGAAAACCCAGCAGAGTTGCAGTTCTTGACACACTCAAACTGGTGCGCCTGGCACGTACTACCATACCCCGTTTAAAGGCACTTAAATCTATTGTCTTGCCCATTCACCCTCTGAATGGCACACATACACAATCCATGTATCAATTGTCTCAAGGCTTAAAAATAATTCTTTAATCTGTCTCTTCCCCTTCATCTACACTGATTGAAGTGAATTTAACATGTGACATCAATAGGGGATCATAGCGTTCACCTGGATTCACCGGGTCAGTCTATGTCATAGAAAGAGCAGTATATCACCCCCTAAGAATTCTATCCCTGTGGATGTTAATCTCTTTCATAACAGAATCTCCAAACCAAGACTTCAGAATCAGAACTAATCACTAAGAACAAATTAATACATCAGTATGGGTGCCACCTGCTTGCTAATTACATTTTAATACTGGGAAGAGAGAAAATAGAATATTCTGATCTTGCCCAGGCATATTGACCCCAATAGCTGGGTCTCATGACTATCATGAGTCTGTTAAGGTTGACATCCATGTACAGTTCCTTCGGAAATTATTCAGAGCCCTTGACTTTTTCCACATTTTGTTACGTTAGAGACTTATTCTAAAATTGATTAAGTTGTTTTATTCCCACATCAAACTACACACAATACCCCATAATGACAAAACAAAAACAGGTTTTCAAAAACGGAAATATCCTATTTACATAAGTATTCAGACCCTTTACTCAGTACTTTGTTGAAGCACCTTTGCAGCGATTACAGCATCGAGTCTTCTTGGGTATGACGCTACAAGCTTATCTTTAGGTGCCTTATGGCAAACTCCAAGCGGGCTGTCATATGCCTTTTACTGATGAATGGCTTCCGTCTGGCCACTCTACCATAAAGGCCTGATTGGTGGAGTGCTGCAGAGATGGTTGTCCTTCTGGAAGGTTCTCCCATCTCCATAGAGGAACTCTGGAGCTTTGTCAGAGTGACCATCGGGTTCTTGGTCACCTCCCTGACCAAGGCCCTTCTCCCCTGATTGCTCTGTTTGGCCGGGCAGCCAGCTCTAGGAAGAGCATAGGTGGTTCCAAACGTCTTCCATTCAAGAATGATGGAGGCCACTGTGTTCTTAGGGATCTTCAATGCTGCAGAATTTGTTTGGAACCCTTCCTCAGATCTGTGCCTCAACACAATTCTGTCTCAGAGCTCTATGGACAATTTCTTCAAACTCATGGCTTGATTTTTGCTCTGACATGCACTGTAAACTGTGGGACCTTATATAGACAGGTGTGTCCTTTTCCAAATCATGTCCAATCAATTGAATTGACCACAGGTGGACTCCAATCAAGTTGTAGAAACAGCTCAAGGATGATCAATGGAAACAGGATTCATCTGAGCTCAATTTCGAGTCTCATAGCAAAGGGTCTGAATACTTATGTAAATAAGGTATTTCTGTTTGTTTTTTTAAATACATTTACAAAAATTTCAAAAAACCTGTTTTCGCATTGTCATTATTATTGTGTGTAGATTGCTGAAAAAAATACAATATTTAATCCATTTTAGAATAAGGCTGTAACCAGTGGTGGAAAAAGTACTCAAATCTCATACTTAAGTAAAAGTAAAGATACCTTAATAGAAAATGACTCAAGTAAAAGTGAAAGTCACCCAGTAAAATACTACTTGAGTAAAAGTCTAAAAGTATTTGGTTTTAAATATACTTAAGCATCAAAAGTAAAAGTAAAAGTACAAATAATTTAAAATTCCTTATATTAAGCAAACCAGACGGCACAATTTTCTTTCTTTCTTTATTCATGGATAGCCAGGGTCACACTTCGACACTCAGACATCATTTAAAAACAAAGCATTTGTCCACCAGATCAGAGGCAGTAGGGATTACCAGGGATGTTCTATTGATAAGTGTGCGAATTGGATCATTTTCTGTCCTGCTAAGCATTTAAAATGTAACGAGTACTTTCGGGTGTCAGGGAAAATGTAAGGAGTAAAAAGTACATAATTGTCTTTAGGAATGTAGTGAAGCAAAAGTAAAAGTTGTCAAAAATATAAACACTAAAGTAAAGTACAGACACCCCCAAAAAAACGACTTAAGTAGTACTTTCAAGTATTTTTACTTAAGTACTTTACACCACTGGCTGTAACGTAACAAAATGTGGAAAAAGTCAAGGGGTCTGAATACTTTCCGAAGGCAAAGTAACCGGTGTGAAAAGGCTAGCGGTGCGCGCTAGTAGCATTTCAATTGGTGACGTCACTCGCTCTGAGACCTTCAATTAGTTGTTTTCCTTGCTCTGCAAGGACCGCAGATTTTGCGGAGTGATAGGTAATGATGTTTCAGTGTGACTGTTGTCAATGTGTTCAGAGGTTCCCTGGTTCGAGCCCAGGTTGGGGCAAGGAGAGGGACGGAAGCAATACTGTTACATATGCACGGACAGTACGCAGCTTTGCCTGGGGGCAAGTTTGCTGGAAATACCCTACTCATTCAGCTCTTCACGCTATTGGTTGCGCTCAATTCAGCCGAATTGTCATTTTCAATTAAAGTGAGCTTGGCATTGAGATCGTATTAAATTCTAATTTCTAATTCTATAGTACTAGGTAGCTATATCACTCAGTTAAAGGGTATTTGCACTGTGATTTTTCCCCACTGTTTATTGCTGCTGACGGGCCAGTGGGTCTCTGTGTGTTTTATTTATGGTGAGTAAATATTGCAGGAGAGTGTGACCCCAATCAGCCTTTACTGGCTAAGTGTGGATGAGCCTGGCAGGCAGCACACAGGCAGGGAAGGCCATTTCTGAAGACCATTTAAACAGTGGGACAGCAAGAACATTATGGAAAGGGGATTGCGTTTCAATCGGGTCTGTGCACTTTACATATCTCTCACTCTCAAACCCAACTCAGCCCCACCATGCCCATTACAAGATATTCAATTCTCAGGCCCTTGAGAGAAAGTAGGTGTTTTTTCTCCCTCTTGCTTTCACTCTTAATCAGCTTAAATGAAAGCTTTTCGCTTCTCGGCTTTGAAATAAACAACCACTGAGGGCTCAGGTTGACTATGGCATTACGATAAAGATCCACTCTAGTAATGGGGTTGGGAAACAAGAGATCATGTTAAACAAATATTACTGTAAGGCTTCAACAGAGGTGCGGGGAAGCTTTTTGTACACTTCTTACAGTAGGTCAAGAGGGACCACTACATTCACCCATATCACCCAAAATGTCTCCATATGAATTCAGATCCACTCTGAACTGATGGTCTTATGTCCTCATTCATACTATCCATTTCAAAATCGGTTTCGGCAAAGAGCAGTGCCTGCAATTCATTGGCCAATTTGGCTTTTGACTGTGCCATCTAGGGGGTTAGAGAGCCCATGACCTCTGATGCTACTGTCTGTATGATTCTCCTAGCACTTGTGATAAATCCCTCTAAGCATCTTTTGTCTTCTGTTACCACATCACGTCATCCTTTCAGAGTAGGGCTGCAGAATTATTTGAATTCACATCAAAATCGCAACATTGACATGTGCAATATCCATTTAGCAAGAGAATCATATCGCATGCAATATTTTGAAACAGCCACGTGTAACATCCTCTTAGTTTTTTATTAAATCTATTTCTATGATTCCATCAGTTTGCCCAAGTGTTTTGATCTATATCGCAAGTGAAATCGCAATCGCAATATTTGGTTAAAAAAACACCCATGTCGTGTAGCCCTATTTCAGAGCAAGGCTAGGCACTAGGGTGTTCCTGGGTTTCATTTCACTGACTCTCTCTATGCATGACCTCTGGCAATAAACGCCCTTGCAGGTTGTGTTTCATGTGGACACTTTAAGGTCCTTGCCCTGTCCAAACGAAAAAGAAGCAAAGGCCCCTCCAAATTGACACTAGCTCATCAAGGGTACAAATATGCCTAGCTTGATTTTTTTCCCTCCAAAATTTGGCAAGAGATGATACATTGATACATGATACATCTCTACTCATTTCCTTAGGAACATCTACGATGAGAGACATCCTGTATGACCAAATTAACCTATCTGATAGCATTTGTTATGTCCTCATATCCAAGGGTACAATTAAACTGGTTTGGGAGGCCTCATACCTTCTAATATCCTTGGGACCAAGAAAGCAATGAACCAAAACACAGCCAAATCCAACAACCCTTTTCAATATCCGTTAAACTGAAATAGGCTATATGGCTATGACTGAAAGTCAATCAGAGTAAGGAAAGAGTTATAATAATCTGTGTTTTTTAAATGCTCTCTGTGCTTAAGGGGCTACTCAAGGCTAAGCTTCCTTTTGTGTTGGTCTCTAGCCATAAAACCAGCTGGGAAACAACAGCCAGTGAAGGATGGTGCACACACACACACACAAGCCTGGGTAAACGTGACAATTTCAGCTAATTAATTATTGCAGGCTACTTGTTTAGCCAGTGCAAACACACTCTTGGAGCCTGTCCCCTACCCCCAGCACCTGTCCAAGTCTTGCAGACAAGCTCAGCCTTATCAAAAATACCTGTTTGCTAGAGAGGGAATACAGTTCCAGACAAAGGACAGTGGTCCCGTCTTTCTAGGCTTGCATGACTTCTGCTTAGCTAGTTGTCAGTTCATTGCTTATAGAGCACCACAATGGCTCAGAACATTGAATGTTGAAAATTGAAAATTGTTTTATACTGTATACAAAGATATTGTTAGTACCCTACTAACAAGATCTTTGTATACAGTATAAAACAATTTTCTTAGTGCCCTCTGACATTTGCATATTATCCTGTGGCACTAGCAGTAGAAAGGTTTATGATCTTGTTTACCTGAGTAATGTGACCCAGGTTGAAAAGTAGACAATGTTCATGCATACCTCCCTTTCATCTGAGCTTCATTGTGAGCTCTCATTACTTGATATGCATAAACTGTCAGTAACTACAACAATGGCTCACTTCATGACCCCAGACAGTGTTGCGAAAGAAAGCAATGGAAAGTAGCAAAGCACTGTTTTGTTGGTTTAAGTGCCATGTCTATGGACAGCATGCTGGAATTTGTGATGGAGGATTTCCATGGATCTATAGATGGGTCTTGTGGTGACGTGACTGTGACTGTGAGGTTAGCAACAAACCTACGCACATCACTCTTTCTGGTCACTTAAAGCGAAGGGAAAACACCAAGGCCTGCTGTAAATATGCGTTAGTAGGACAAACTAGCCAACAGCAGAGTGTGATCCAAAAACATGATTACAATGATACTGGTCATTGCAGTTTAGACTCATACACTATTAGAAAGAAAGGTGCTATCTAGAACCTAAAAATATTATTTGGCTGTCTCCATAGGAGAAACCTTTGAATAATCATTTTTGGTTCCAGGTAGAACCCTTTTGGTTCCAGGTAGAACCCTTTTGGTTCCAGGTAGAACCGCAATGGGTTCCACGACAGCCGAAGAACCCTTTTGGAACCCTTTTTTCTACGAGTGTACTATAGATCACCATCACAAATCTGGCCAATCAGAGGCTTCCCGATTGATTAGCAACGTCTCTTTGTTTTCCAGAGAGTGTGTGTGTGGACTGGGGAGGTTTGTTTGGTAAGGAAGGGAAGAGCAGCCCATCTCCTAATCACTCCACACACAGCACACTGCCAGGGAGGGAGAGCAAGGCAAGGGCACACAAGGAGAGCTTAGCCTACACTCCTCCTCTGGGATCTGCCTCTCCCTAGGGGAGCCAGGGGATAGAGAGAACTGCCGCTGCCCATGTTAGTGAATGAGAGAATGTATAAATGAAGAGGAAGAAGTGGGAATTGTTTTTCGGGGTTTGTTTTTTTCCTGGCATCGAGCATGCCTCACTGGCACCGCCTGCCCAGTAGTACCTGCGTGTGGATAAGGATACACAACCTCCAGGAGGGCAGCACGTACCCCGTTTATGCCCCAGCTGTAGCACTGCCAGCTCCCCTCAGTGAAGCATGGGAATGGGGCTGGCCTGCTGTAAGCCCACCAGGCTCAAACAGGAACACCTGCAAGGTAAAGCTAGCTACATATTTTGAGTTATATTGTCAATATAAATGTATATTGTAATGTACTGTAATTACAATGTACATTGAACAGCTATGGGCTGTTGATGTTCATCTGTCTGTTGTGGATTTCACTTGTTTTGTCCATAGTGCAATATGCCATACCACAACGAAAGGTGTCCTCAGTAGGGGCGCTAGATGGGCTCAAAAAAAGTATTTTATTTTGTTGGTGGTGGTGTTCTGATGTTGTATGACGTACTACATTCAGGTTTTGTGAAGAGTCCTTCCTTTCATTTGAAGGGCAAGCTTTTCTGAATATCCAACAAAGGTTGGTAGAAAACATTATAAAGCATGTTCTAGAACCAATCATAGCTGCTCCAGAGGACATGTTTTATTACAAAACGTACATACTATAATAAATAAATAATTAAACATACTATATGCCAGAAATATCATGATGTTCCCTCTCCATGGTGACTCTACACACAGTTATTTAGGAAACATTATACACAACACATGTGCTGCACCTCATAAACACTGCTGCACAAAGGTCAACGGGAGTTAATCCATTCCCAATCCTCAGAACCATTAACACTGACAGTGACCACACACACACACACACAACACCGCTGCTTATCATTAACTGCAGGTGTCTGCACCTCCCAGTCAGTTAACTAAGTTCACACAGTCAGTGGTGGAACAAGTACTCAATTGTCATACTTGAGTAAAAGTAAAGATACCTTAATAGAAAAGGACTCAAGTAAAAGAGAAAGTCACCCAGTAAAATACTATTTGAGCAAAACTCTGGTTTTAAATGTACTTAAGTACAGTGATGTAAAAAGTACTCAATTGTCATACTACAGGGGCTCACTCAAACACTCAGACATAATTGACAAATTCAGTATTTGTGTTTAGGAGTCCGCCATATCAGACGCAGTAGGGATAACAACCAGTGGAGGCTGCTGAGGGGAGGAAGGCTCATAATAGTGGCTGGAATAGAGTCAATTGAATGCTATCAACCACATGGAAACCATCCTCCCCGCAGCAGCCTCCACTGACGACAATGTGTTATATTGATAGGTGTGTGAATTGGACCATATTGCTGTCCTGCCTGAGCATTCTAAATGTAACAAGTACTTTTGGGTGTCAGGGAAAATGTAATGGAGTAAAAAGTACATATTTTCTTTAGGAATGTAGTGGAGTAAAACTTGTCAAAAATATAAATATTAAAGTAAAGTACAAATACCCCCCAAAAATACTTAAGTAGTACTTCAAAGTTTTTTACTTAAGTACTTTATACCACTGCACACAGATAAGAAGAAACATATTTTTCGCAGTAAAACTCATCCCTCATCTCCCCTCCCTTCCACTAAGGATCCATCCATCCACAAGCACAGTGGTCAGTCTGACATTTACCGACCAGAGGGAATCATTATCATCAAAAATGATCTTCACTGCAGTTTTCTGTGGAACATGAAGTGTCCTAATCAAAATACCAGCCCTTTAATGTGCTCAGTGGGAGTGAGACTTACATTAAATCCCAGAGCTCTGGTTTATCTTAATTGTCTCCAAATCAGATTGACTCGGTACGGGTACCCCCTGTATATAGCCTCGTTATTGTTATTTTATTGTGATTTATTTTACATTTTTTACTTTAGTGTATTTAGTAAATATTTTCTTAACTCTATTTTCTTAAAACTGCATTGTTGGTTAAGGGCTTTTAAGTAAGCATTTCACGGTATGGTCTACACCTGTTGTATTCGGCGCATGTGACAAATAAAATGTGCACTTTCTTTCCAAAGACAGACTTTTCGTATTTTCTTATCTTTTTGACAGTCTGCATTTCTTGAATGATTTTGTGAAGCTGTCTTATCTGGCTGGCGGTGGGCGGGAAGAGGAAGCACTGACTGTGTTCAGGCTCCTTTATGTCTGCGACGGCAGGACATCTTTATCACTCGCTTGATTTCTCTCTTTTCCGGTGGCTGTATAGATCACTTATGTGGGTGACCTGAAGGGAAGGGATCCATCTGGTTTACACTGCTATTAATGACAGGAACTAGGACTGAAGAGCTTTATCTTTCCTATCTGACCACATAAAGGAACAGCTTTTTGAAGAAGTGCTTTTGAAGCTGTAATAATATTAACACTTTCATCTTTAAAATTAATGGGAAGTGCTATGTTTGGAACTGGCTTGCTTAAGTATTCACCCCCCTTGGCATTTTTCCTATTTTGTTGCCTTACAACCTGGCATTAAAATGGATTTTTTTGGGGGGTTGTATCATTTGATTTACACAACATGCCTACCACTTTGAAGATGCAGAATATTTTTGTGGGTGAAACAAACAAGAAATAAGACCAAATTAACAGAAAACTTGAGCGTGCATAACCAACAGCCTGGACACTAGACTACAAACCTGTATCTAAGGGTCACATGAGTACACAGAGCCCAAAGCAGTCAATGTGACTGGGCTGCTAAGCGATAATCACAGTGGTGTGAGTTTGCTGAGCTCGGTGACAAAGGCACTTAGCTTTATGGCACCACTGTTTATATATGGTTTACCTTCCCAAAGCTAAATGGCATTGCGTAACATAGCAAGAGATATCATTACACGGATTACTGGACCACAGTAAAATCACATCTAAAGAATGATATCTGATTAATCACTTAAATGTGACTATTAGCGATCCTGTTTCTCTACATGTGTACTACTATATCTGATAAATGGTAGACATTAATTTTGTTGCCAAATCCTATAGGGTCAATCAATTGAGACATGTAGTCTACATTCGGTTGTTCAGTCAGTCTGTTATGTATCCACAGAGTTTCTAAACCCAGAGGTGCAACATCGCTAGACTTCTGGGAATGCTTGCAAAGCAGACCAAACAGACCAGGCAGGGGTTTGGGGTTTGAGAAGTCAATGAGAGAAGTGACAAATTCTTCCTTAGTTGTTAATTTTCTTGAAATCTAAAGGCACAACCAAGATTAGAGGCAATGTCTTAAGTAGTTGAACATGTTATTACTCCAACCTCGTGAAAGTGTCAAACTGAACCATTTTCATTTTTTTTGTTAAAGAAAAACGTTATATCGAAGGAGTGCCTTTGATTTGACGGCCTGCATATGCGCAGTTTGGCGCTAGACGACCATTACACTCAATTACGTGTTTCTACACATGTGCTTATCTAGCCAACGTCGCCATGACATTGCCTACAAGTGTGATTGGGGATTTATTTTGGAGAAGCAGTTTTAGCCTATCTTCATAGTGTACTGTCTTTGATGTAGCTGTAACTGTATTCTAAACAAAACAACTACACCATCTAGTGGTAATGGTACCAGCCAGTTACAACTTTATTTACCCTGATATGAAGGTAGTTGATGGCTAACTTGTTTGCTGAAAATCCAATCAGATTTTGAATTTAGACAGTTTGATCTTTGAGGAGTCGGGCCTACCTGATTGGAGGTTCTTGTCCATGCACAATATCTCATATTGTAGCCTAATACAGGGATGGGGCTCTTGAAGGACATCATCTCCCGCTGGAGAGCTGTGGTATGGAAAAAAACATGAAAGGATATTGAAGTGGCTGGACTCATCAACCTTTCATTAACCTCACTCCAGTTTTCCCCCAGATAAGAGTCTGCCAACAAGATTAACTTTTCAAAGATTCATTCGACTCATCTCTCTCTCTCTCTCTCTCTCTCTCTCTCTCTCTCTCTCTCTCTCTCTCTCTCTCTCTCTCTCTCTCTCTCTTTCTCAGGTGGTCCAGGAGGAGAAAAGGACCGTGCTGCTATCAGTCATGAGGCCTTTCTACTCATGGCCAACTCCCAGAGTGACATGGATGACTGGGTCAAGGCCATACGACGGGTCATCTGGGCACCGTTTGGAGGAGGTAAACTAGGCTGGCATTCAAAGTGATTTTGCTATGTTTCACTGTTGTTTTGCAGTGTTCAGTCTGGTTTAACCAGGCTAGAAGTAAACTGCTTTGCCCAGACTTATATTACTAGATACAATTATTTACAAAACTGAGCTAATGCTCAGTGAAAGCGTATTCTGGTCAAGGCTCACATTGTACATGTAACTCAAACATTTTGACTTATGCTGTATGGGGTCAGCGGTTTGACAGACAGAAAATCATTGCATGGAGTACAGTATGTTCAGAACAGACTAACAGGTACTTTCAGAGCTTTAAGTCTTTATTTCCTTACTAGTGTGTCATTACACTCTGTTCAGTTTCTAACATTGCACTGAAGGCTAGTCTACTGTATGCTGCTGTACTTGACGTGTATCCGGAAGTTTCAAGCTTTAATGTCACATGCACAAGTACAGTGAAATGCCTTTCTGGCAAGCTCTAAACCCAACAGTGCAGTAATCAATAACAATGTAATACTAAAAATAACATAAGGTAAAACAAAAACACACAATAAATAAAAATAAGAAAATAAGAAGAACACGAGAAAGTAAGTGAGCATATTATATACAGGGTCAGTTCCAGTATATGATGATCCTCTGTAGCTCAATTGGTAGAGCATGGCGCTTGTAACGCCAGGGTAGTGGGTTCGATCCCCGGGACCACCCATACGTAAAAATGTATGCACACATGACTGTAAGTCGCTTTGGATAAAAGCATCTGCTAAATGGCATATTATTATTATTATTATTATTATGATTGAGTCAGTGTGTGTAGAGTCAGTATAAATGTATATGCATATTATGTGTGTGTGAGCAAATTATGGAGTAAGTGTTTGTGTGTGTGTTGGAGTGTTAGTGTGCGTGAGTGTGTAGGGCCCTGTGAGTGTGCATAGAGACAGTGCAAAAATGTAAATAAAATAAAATACAAGGGTCAGCTCAGATTGTCCGTGTAGCCATTTAGTTACCTATTTAGCAGTGTTATGGCTTGGGGATAGAAGCTGTTCAGGAGCATGTTGGTGTCAGACTTGATCCACTGGTTCCGCTTGCCATGCAGAAGCAGAGAGAATAGTCTATGGCTTGGGTGACTGGAGACTTGGGTGACTGGAGACCTCTGATATAGAGGTCCTGGATGGCAAGGAGCTCGGCCCCAGTGATGTACTGTGCTGTCCACACCACCCTCTGTAGCGCCCTGCGATCGAGGATGGTGTTATTGCCATACCAAGCAGTGATGCAGCCAGTCAAGATACTCTCAATGGTACAGCTGTATAACTTTTTGAGGATTTGAAGGCCCATGCCAAACTTGTTCAACCTCCTGAGGGGAAGAGGCGCTGTTGCGCCTTCTTCACGACTGTGCGGGTGTGTACCATTTTAAGTCCTTAGTGATTTGGACACCGAGGAACTTGAAGCTTCGACCCGCTCCACTGCAGCCCCATCGATGTGGATGGAAGCATGCTCACCCCCCTCTTTCTCCTGTAGTCCACGATCAGCTCCTTGCTCTTACTGACATTGAGGGAGAGGTTGTTGTCCTGGCACCACACTGCCAGGTCACTGACCTCCTCCCTGTAGGCTGTCTCATCGTCACCGGTGATCAGGCCTACCACCGTCGTGTCGTCAGCCAGCTTGATGATGGTGTTGGAGTCGTGCGTGGCCACACAGTCATGGGTGAACAGGGAGTACAGGAGGGGACTAAGCACACACCCCTGTGGGGCCCCTGTGATGAGAGTCAGCATGACAGAGGTGATGTTCCCTTCAGGAAGTCCAGGATCCAGTTGCAGAAAGAGATGTTCAGTCCCAGGGTCCTAAGCTTGGTGACAAACTTAGAGGGGACAATGGTATTGAACGCTGAGCTTTAATCAATGAACAGAATTCGCACATAGTAATTCCTCTTATCTAGGTGGGTGAGGGCAGTGTGGAGTGCAATTCAGATTGTGTCATCTATGGATCTGTTGGGGTGGTATGCAAGTTGGAGTGGGTCTAGGGTGTCTGAGGTGATGTGTGCCATAACCAGCCTCTCCAAGCACTTCATAAAATATAGGCTAGGGTGTGTGAAGGCAGCTGGATATCCAGATATTATATTAAAAAGAGGACGTTATAAATAGGAGGATCACAGCATGTCTAACTGACATCCAGGCTTTCATATCATAGTCGTAACTTTAAACCCATCAGACACTGGAACTGGAAGGGAGGTACTCTATTGTAGTCAGTCAGTGAAGACTGCTCAGGAGAGGACGGCTCAATAATGGCTGGAACGGCTGAGCGAATGGAATGTCACCCAACCAAGTGTTTGATGTATTTAATACCATTCCACCGATTCCGCTCCAGCCTTTACCACAAACCCGTCCTCCCCAATTAAGGTGCCACCAAGCTACTGTGTAGTCAGTAGGCTACTTGTGGCTTCATACATTACATTTTGGAAGGAGCATGCAATGATGAAGGGAACTTCTTTAGCTAATGTCTAATTCATGTCAAGAGGGCCTACAAATTGCTGATAACAGCAAGATTCCATACGGTATGTGAGACCTATGGACATGTTCTGTATTGGCCCTTGCCAAGTACCTCAACTCCTCCACGGAGCAACTCGAAAGAGTCAGAGGTTCATTTCAAAAACTCTAGTCTGCGCTCAACTCCATGGATGAAATCATCGGGGAGTTGAGGTACTTGCCAATATTGGCCCCTGAATGCTCTGTTGCACAGGGGTGTATTTAGTTGTTGTTGTTTTTTTTTAAATATATTGTTTTAAAATATATATTTCCCTTTATTACTTTCCAACCCCACCACCCCTTCCCTAATTGGAGTAAACTAGAGAACAACAATGCTTAGGCCTCTACTTCCAGCTTATACTGTACATACTATATACATTTTATGGACACAGTCAATTTTACAATAATTCTATTTTATTTGTTTTTACTCCTGAACTTCCTCTAACCTCAACCTCGCCAATCATTTTCATGATGTCCATCCGGTTTGCTTCTATATGCCATATCTTTCTAACTGTGCTCTTTCACAAAAGCTCTCAACCTATAACCTATATACTTATTATGGACACAGTATGCTTACATTATTAGTTATCTTGTTGTTATTAGTTGTTGTTAGTAGTTATTAGTCCCATCCTTCAACTCCATTCAACACCACCCATCTATCTCTTAACACCATCCATATTGGATTTCTATTTGCCATATATTTTCAACTGTACTGTGATGTTTTACAAAAGTTCTGAACCTTTCTATTCTCATTGTTTCTACAGATTGTAAATTGAAAATAAACATTTTTGCTAAAAGTATTATTATATTATTGATCGATTGACTATGACTTTTCAGATCACCCAGTAATGCTATCTGCAGGGTTAGCTCCAGGTAAATATTGCAATGTGTCCAAAAACAAGCTACGAATGGACAGTACCAAAACAAATGATCTAATGATTCTGTCTCTTTGCAGCAAAATCTATTGGTAGCAAAAATGTTATATAATAATTTACATTTACATTTACATTTTAGTAATTTAGCAGACGCTCTTATCCAGAGCGACTTACAATTTAAATTGACAAATTCTAAGTTTTGAATCCGGCGTCGTTTTGCGTATCAGTTCAAAAATCTCTTCCCAGCTATTTTGGGACGGCTGTCGGTCCTTAAATGAAACTGGTATACTTTTTTATTTATCACAGTTTTCTTTAACCAATTATGTTCTTTAATGAAAGGCCAACAGACAAGTTCCTTACTTTTTCCCCCTTCCACTTTCCTCTTCCATTTTTGCGGTAATGCTGCAATTATTTGGTTGTAATTTTGGGTAGAGCAGACATTTCCATATGTTTTTGTTAGCTACATGTGCGACATACCTCCACCTGTCCTACCGATGATATCATTTACGAAGATTATACCTTTTTATTTTTTTTATTTGTCAAAATAAAAAGGTTTTTTAGCAATTATATATTTGAGTTTAACCACAATATTTGTTGCATTCTTTGTTCTGTCGTTTCTGGAGGAACTTTATATGGCTTGTTTTAGAAATAGTGATATTTGGGAGATTATTTCTGTCACGCCCTGACTCAGGGGACTCGTATATGTTGAGTCAGGGTGTGTATATTCTTTGTTTGTGTATATTTCTATGTGATTTATCTAGGATGGGTATTTCTATGTTGGCCGGTGTGGTTCCCAATCAGAGGCAGCTGTCGCTCATTGTCTCTGATTGGGGATCATACTTAGGCAGCCTATTGGCACTATTGAGTTGTGGGATCTTGTTCCTGGTAAGGTTAGTTGTGTGTCTACCTTAGGACTTCACGTTTCGTTTCCTTTGTTGTTTTGTCGTGTGTTTATAGTTCAATAAACATGTATGCATATCACGCTGCACCTTGGTCTGACCCGTCATTCAACGAACGTGACAATTTCCTTTTCAAATAACTGAAAGTGAGAGGTTGTAATCTGAATAAAGGGAAAAAGGCCATTCTTGAACATTGGGTGAGACAATCTTACTAATTTGCTAGAGAACCAGTTCGGATTTAAGTATAACTTTTGTATGACTGAAGCTTTTAGTGATAGGTCTAATGCTTTAATATTTAATAATTTCTGTCCTCCAATTAATATTCATTATATAAATAGGCCTGTTTAATTTTGTCTGGCTTACCGTTCCAAATAAAATTGAATCTTTTTTTCTCATATAATTTCAAAAACTGTTCACTAGGCGTAGGCAAGACCATAAGGAAATAGGTAAACTGGGATAATACTAAAGAGTTAATCAGGGTGATTTTTCCACAAATTGACAGGTATTTACCTTTCCATGGTAGCAAGATCTTATCTATTTTTGCTAACTTTCTATAAAAATGTATTGGAGTAAGAATTTATTTCAATTGGGATATGTATTCCGATTATATCACCATCAGACCATTTTATTGGTAAACTACATGGTAATGTAAAATTTTAATTTTTTTGTGATCCAATACATAATATAGTACATTTATCATAATTTGGTTGTCATCCAGAGAGGTTAGAAAATGTATCTAGATCCTCTGTGAGGCTGTGGAGGGATTCTAGTTGTGGATTTAAAAGAAAACATGAATCATCAGCGTACAATGACACCTTTGTTTTTAAGCCCTGGATTTCTAATCACTTGATATTATTGTTGGATCTGATTTTAATAGCTAACATCTCGGTGGCCATAATAAACATATATGCCGATAGTTTAATACTTTCTGAGAAATAGCCATTTATTTACTATTTTACACCTAGGATTACTATACATAATATTAACCCATTTTATAAGACATTTATAAGGCAATTATACATAAACCCCAGTCATACTTTATCAAATGCCTTTTCGAAGTCTGCTTTGAATAGCAGGCCTGGTTTCCCAGATTTTTCATAGTGTTCTATTGTTTCCAGTACTTGCCTTATATTATCTCCAATGTATCTTCCATGTAAAAAACCTGTCTGATTAGAATGAATAATGTCCGACAATACCTTTTTAATTCTATGCGCTATACATTTTGCTAGAATCTTTGCATCACAACACTGAAGTGTAAGGGGTCAATTTTTTAAATGGACTGGATGTTTACATTTTCCACTTGTATCCTGTTTCAGTAATAATGAAATCAGAACTTCTTGAGTGTCTGATAATCTACCATTTACATAGGAGTGGTTAAAACATGCTAATAACGGTCCTCTGAGTATATCAAAAAAGGTTTGGTATACCTTGACTGGTATGCCATCCAACCCTGGATTTTTCCCGGACTTAAAGTCTTTAATTGCATCCAGAGGTTCCTCCTCTGTAATTTCACCTTCACATGAGTCTTTCTGTATGGCTGTTAATTTTACATTATCAATAGAAAATAAATCTCTACAATTAGCTTCAGTTAGAGGAGATGGAGGCAACTGAAACGAAAACATATGCTTAAAGTACTTTGTTTCCTCCTTCAAAATATCATTTGGTGAATCATGGGTGACATTTCTAACCAGTTTCAGTAAATTATTTTTGGTAGCATTCCTATGTTGAAGATTAAAAAAGAATTTGGTGCATATTTCCCCATATTCCATCCAGTTTGCTTTATTTTTATAATATATTACACTTGATCTTTCTTGAATAAGTTCCTCAATTTCTTTTTGTTTTTTCTCTAATTTATTCTGAGCCTCTATGTTACAGTTTTTATTGCTATCTATCTGTTCTGTTAGACCTTCTATTTCCTTTGTTAGTATAGACTCTTTTGACCCAAATTTCTTTTGACCTAAATTTCTTTTGTTTTCGAGCTGAGTACTGAATTGCATGGCCTCTAAAGGCACATTTAAAGGCGTCCCATACAATAAGGGGATTTGCTGCACCTATGTTATGTCGGAAAATATCAGTTATAAAATGTAAATGTAAAATTTAAGAAAGGACCTGATTTATGAATGGATACACGAATGTTTATACAGTTACAGCTGTTTGAGAAAGCGTGCAAGATTGAGCAAAAATTGACAACAATGTGAGATTTGATTAATCTATTTAATCTATGTTAAGTCCTAGGTGATGGAGATCAGATCCACCCTCTTCACCTGAGACACAAACACTCTGGTCCCCCGTTGTAACCATTTTTCCCAAGCATCTCCGTGCAGTCAGACCTTTGATTATTTTGTGCCACCTGGCCACAATGATAAGCCCCCTCTCTGATTGTCCGAGTGTGACCCCCTCCCCATGGGTTACTGCAGCCAGTGTTGCCAGCACTGCCACTACCTGGGTAGGGGTACCCCACCGGAATCCCCACTGGCTAGGTACAAGGTCGTCAAGGTTCTCATTAGCAGCTTTGAGAACTTCCTTGTATATTATGCTCTCCCATCAGGGGGCTCTGGCTTTGTAGGACCAACCCTGCCAGGCAGGCTCAGAATATTGAGGGGGCGGTGCTGCTCAAGTAGGTCTCTGACCGCATTATTTTTTTTGTTTTGGCTGCATATAGGCAACTCACAGCAGGTCCATAAAACAGATGGGGACTTCTCTTTGGTGTATGGGTCGCTCAGGTGGGTGTCTAGGATATAGGGTTGGGGATCGTTCCATCATGATAGGTCAATAAAAAAATATATTAGATGTATACTATATTTTAAAATGTATATCCCTCATCTGCACAAAATTGAAAGCTCTCTCTCACAACCCCTGCTCACAGACACACATTGGTTCTGGGATATGCAACCATTTCCTTTCTCACTCACTTAATGCCACACTTATTCCATTGTCTCAAATTTACAAGGCCGCAGGAATGTTTTCGAGTTCTCACTCTCCATCAAGAATAGAACTGTCGCCAACTTATAGAACTGTCATTAACAGGAATACTGCAGGCATAACCAATGACTCATGTCTCCTATTTACATTTTGATGTGCAGACTACCTGCCTCATTACGAGTTATTAGAAGACCAGTCTTCTCGAATGCACGAACCAGACTGGATTGAATTACTTCAACCGTCGCTGCTTGAGGAATGTGGCTTTGTAATGTATGAAAAGCGCGCTCTGCAACTGTGTAGCACTTTCTCAATTAAGTATTATGACTACTCCGATCTGTCCGTGCCTAGGGGTTGTGTTGCACGCAATCATCAGATGAGATACAGTGCGCGATTGATCGAAGAAGATGTGAAGACTGTTTGAACTTTTTTTGCCCTCTCTGTTTCTTATTTTTAGGGGTTCACAGCGAAGCTGAGTAACTTGGTAAAAAATAATGGCACCAATTGGCCTATAGAGGGCACTGTATACACAGTCTCACTTAAACCCTCATATCTGTCGCCCCATTTGACCTAGAGACTTGAAACTTTGTATGTAGGTGTCTTTCCTCATGTAGAACACATTTGCCTCAAAGACCCATAAGGTCCATCCTGATAGAGGACACTCTTTTCACTCCATTTTGCCCAGTGTGCGGTGCTATACATCACAGTGGGCACACACACACACACACACATACACACAGTGGCACGTTAAACGGAATAAATACATTCTAAAGTCAATAATAATGGATTGCATTATAGCTAAAAGCTACAGTAGATATTCCTCTATAAATTGAATTTAGACAAGTTAGCATGCTAGCTAGCTTTGTAGCTTACTGCCAGCCGTCGCTGCGCAAGACAGTTAGCTAGCTAGCTAATAAGTTAACAAACTTTCACGCACTTGCGGCCACATAAATATTCTAAATAGATAGCTAGCTAGCTTAGATAAAACATTGGATTGTTGATATGGCTCTCCGTTTACCATTTTTCTCAGCCAGGTTTTAGACTCAATGAATTAGCCTCTAACAAATTTGAAAATAATTAGTTGCTGCATTCAAAGTCGGCCATGCTACACCACTAGATGGCCCCATATCACACCAGGGCTATGAAATTAGGTATGTAAACCTTATGTATACGTCAGCGGAGGCTGCTGAGGGGAGGACGGCTCATAATAATGTCCGGAATGGACATAAGATACTGGAGCAATAACTATTGATCAAGTGGAATTTGTCTCATGCAAATTCATGTTAGATTTAAATTATGCAGACAAAAAAATGTGAAATATTGTGAAAATAATGTTGAAAACATTTCACAAATCTTAACATAAAACATTAGTCAAATTAACCCCAGAATTGGTTTATAAACTCAATACATTAATTAATGACTTAAATAATGATTACCTGCTGAATTCAAAGATAACCAACCCACAGCACTGGACTAGACTAAACTTCACTTGCGTCATCTTTGTGGTTTTGAGAGATAAACATGGTAATGCTTTCACTGATTGCACATAAAGGAACATAGTTCCTACATGATAGTGCTTGCTTTGTTATCCAACTGATCTTCTTTCTGTCATCCTGTGAACCCCGTTCATTGCTGCTCGCAGCTATATTTTGATTTGCATTTTGTGTTTACTGTTCATCCAACTACTGAATGTTGAGAAGCTGCATATTGGTATTCCTGAACATAACTTTACATTGGTTTGGCATTTTATTACGGTAATACCTTTTTTACTGAATGAATGACAACCATTATTTAATACTGAAATACAGTATGTAATACGTTTTTCTTGCCTGCAGGGATATTTGGCCAGAGTTTAGAGGACACAGTCCAGTATGAAAAGAAGTTTGGCCATCGCCTGGCACCTCTTCTGGTGGAGCAGTGTGTGGACTTCATAAGGGAACAAGGTCTGGATGAGGAGGGTCTCTTTCGGATGCCAGGGCAGGCTAACCTGGTGAAGGATCTACAGGAAGCCTTTGACTGTGGGGATAAGCCTCTCTTTGACAGGTAGATGAAAGGTCATCTGCATTCCCTGTTATTGAATACAAAATAAATGCTGATTTGTTCAGCTGGAAGTAGAAGTGGTGGTGGCAGTAGTGGTGGTGGTGGTCAATTGTTGACAATAACTTTGATAGTGTATACACAGTAAGCCTACATATAGCCTACACTAAATCCTTCCACTACAATACTGTAGGCCACTAGGCCTTTAGCACTTGTAATTCTATTGTAATTCATACAGAGTTAGTAGACAACTTTAGATAACTCTTTCGCGCCCTCTTGCAGTAACACTGACATCCACACAGTGGCGTCCCTGCTGAAGCTCTACCTCCGTGAACTGCCTGAGCCTGTGGTCCCTTTCTCAAAGTATGAGGACTTCCTCTCCTGTGCTCAGCTGCTGGCCAAAGACGCGGAGGTGGTAAGAGACACTTCTCTGCGCTAGTTCCTGTCATGTTAGTACTCACACTTTGACTGAAGCCAAAGAGCAGAACTGCTCTGTCATTGGATAAAAACCAGTGTTCAAGTACATGATGTCTGTGTGAAGAAACAAGAGCTGTCGTGATACTGTATGTCATAGGTTCTCATCTTATCTTCTTAGGGTGTACAGGAGCTGGGAAAGCAAGTGAGCAATCTTCCTCCAGCCAACTACAATCTCCTGAAGTACATATGCAAGTACGTCCACAAACATCCAACTCCCTTCCTTTGAAGATTTTATCACAGTCCCATTTTCATATCTTTCGAATTCTGTCCCGCCATGCCGTGCCTTTCTTTAAAGGTTTCTTGATGAGGTCCAGTCTCACGCAATCAAAAACAAGATGAGTGTACAGAACCTGGCCACTGTATTTGGACCAAATATCCTCCGGCCCAAAATGGAGGACCCAGTGGTTATTATGGAAGGTATGAACTCTCATTAATTTTATATCATGCTGATATTAACAGCAACTGTATTAATCATCTGAGACTTTCCTGATATTTGTTCATTGAAATGGCTGGGAAGTATGATGCAGAGTCGATACAGTACATTAGCTTATGGAAACAGAGTACCGAAACACTTTACTATTACATGCTATCTATTCATGACTCACCTACTCTATGTCCAGTTCATAAAACATATACAAATCCAAAGTAGAACAGCATTGTACAGTATGGTTCCTTATTCCTTTTTATTGTTTCCTGTAAAGGGACCTCCCTAGTCCAGAGCCTCATGACCGTACTGATCAGTGAGCATAAACGTCTGTATTCGGGGAGGGGGGAGCTGGAGGTCCCTGTTCCCCAGCCAGAGGTGACCCTCCAAGGCCAACAGCTCCAGCAGCACAGCATCGGGGGCTGGATTTCCGAGGAGGACCTCCAGAGCTGCCCCACCAACCCCAACGAGGACCTCACCTGCAGCAGCACCTCTTCTCTGGATGCTAAACTCTGTGCCGCCACCACCCCTCCACCCAGACTCGCTCCTTCAGGGAAGGGGGAGACGGTGGTCAGCCCCAGCAAGCAGACCAAGAATGTTCCCTCCTGGAAGTACTCCTTCAAGGGCTCCTCCATGCCGCGGCCCCCTCCTCAGGCCAAGCCGGCCGTTTCCACTGCTGACGTCACCAGCGTTTCCTATAGTGGGAACTGGCTGATGAACGGGCTGTCCTCTCTGAGGAGCCATAGGCGCACCACCTCAGGGGAGCGTGTCAGGGACTCCACCAGCTCTTTCCAGAGACTGTCCACCTATGACAACGTCACCTCTTCCTCCAGCATGGGCAGTGTCCCTAGCGTAGCCAGCACTCCTTGGTCTACCTCCTCCTGTGAGATCTCCGCACCCAACTCAGGCAGCGAGCCCTCAGGGCCTAACTGTGGTAACGGGAAGGGTCAAGGGGATTGCCAGTGGCAGGAGCTAGCCTCACCCCAGGGCCAGGACCGGAAGGGAGGCCGGGATGAGGAGAGAGTTGGAGATAGGGTCTCAGAGCAGGAACAAGACAGTATTGAAGCCATGGAGCTGTGTGTTAGCAGCGCAGGCTGCAGTGACAATGGGAACACCAAAGCCAATATTATGTTGGTGCCATCCATCGTGACGCCGGAAGACCTTGACGGAGGCTCCAAAGTACTTACCAGCCTGGTGGAGGGTCTGAAGGACGAGCTGAGGAAACAGAAGGTGGCCTACGAGACCATCATGAAAAAGTAAGTCTGCAGGCTGCATATCAGTCTTAGGTTACTTGCAGGTATTGAGGAGTTCCGGCTCTATAGTTGTGTAAATCAACCTATGTATGTGTGTGCCCCCTGCAGGCTGGAGGAGTCCAATGCTGCGCTGTGTGCTCAGATGGAGCGTCTGGAGCAGGAAATGGAGCAGGAGAGGAAGAAGCAGCGCATGCTGGAGATCAAGCTCCGCAACTCAGACCGAGCCCGTCACGATGCAGAGAACAGGAACCAACTCCTGGAGAGGGAAATGGAGGACTTCTTCTCCACTTTGGGAGACCTGGCTCTGGGAGCAAGGACTAGTGACATTTAATAGCCCTGATCAGAGTCATAAACCTCTATAGTCTCTTCCCACAGTCGAGTGCCATGAGTCTGGCAAGCGAGACTAAAAACTACATGGACTCAATTAATAATACTGTATGTTGTACAACGCAGGCAGCTGCATCTCTATCTTTCCTCAGGCCTCTAAGTGTGCCTATAACTACCATGAGTATCTATCTGGATGGAATTCCATGTCGTTTGGTGACAAAGCCTCGGTCCTTGGTTTACTCTGGTCAACTCTGTCAGTATGTATACCTTTAATGTAAAGCAAAGGGGTCAACTACTATCATTATGACTGTACAATAATCACTGCTTTGTTAATCATATGCTGCCTACTACAGTACACAATGTGCAAATACAACAATACCAAAGCCGGACTCTGCTAAGGACCAGTGTTGAAGCCGCCATGTCGGTTTGGGGCACATGAAGCTGACCACTGCCCTCAAAGAAACAATTCAACAGTATCCTGGCTGTGCCTTCAGGGGCTTTTAGAATTTAAAAAATAAAATGTTGCGTGCTTGTCCAGAGGTGTAGTTAGTCCATTTTCATCAATAACACTCAAATGGTTCATGTATTGCTTAACCTTAATTTATCACCACTATCCCCAGAGTCACTTGCAGTAAGGTGCCAATAGTTCATTGAATTCAAATGTTGAAAAATAATGTACTGTATACTTTAGTGAATGTAATGCCTTGTTGATCATGCCAGCCCTGTAAATTGAGTCTGAATTAATTATTAAAACATTGATATAGATTTGAATGCATTTCCCAGAAAATTCGTACGTGAGTGTTGCATGTGGTGAAACTGTTGATAGAATCCCCATTTTCAGCAAATGATTACTGCTACTGCATAGAAATGTCTGGATGCCTGAACACAAAACATGATTTGGTTCTTGAAGACCCCTATAATCAGTATAATATCGTGACAATGTGTATTAGTTTTAAGGCAATGTGACTGTATTTTTTGGGTTCTTTTTGCATTTTATACAGAATCATATAACTAATGTTACCTGATTACCGCTTTCATATGCTGTTCATATGCTTATATTTACAAGGTGGTGTTTTGATAAACTTGACTGATTTAGACAAGTGTCTATTGTGGTCGCCCTGTCAATGACAGCAGTTGAAATGTTTATTTTCTCCTAAAACGTAAACTTAGGTTCAATTTTATAGTCTTTGATTAACATTTAAGGCGCTTATTTATTATGAATCTACATACTTGTAATGAATGGCATTATGGTAAATCAATCTAAGTAAATAAAGATGACAGGTGTCATTTTGTGACTGATACTATATGGGTCAGCAAGCTTGGGTTCAGTTCATCTTATACTTAGCGCTTGGTGTGTCTTACTCATAATACCAACAAATTATACCACATCTCAAGATCATGTACAAAAACGACCTACAAATGCATGACTCAAATTGTGTTTATTTTATTTGCAGTACATGTTTTTTATTTTGGGGGGCATCATCAGATCCCAATGCATTTATTCTAGTAGTGCACTTTTCATTGCCTGCGGTCCGAGACGCACAGAGCCAGGAATTATTAACTACTTGCATGGCTGGCTTCACTAGCAAACATAACAAACCAGCACCATACATATGACTTTGTTTTTAGGCATTACTTATCTTTGTAATTTTATTTATAATTATTTGGCCTTACCAATCAAAATCTATTGGCCATGCATGATGTACTCCCCTCTCTCTGCTCCCTCTGGCCACAGATTGGACTGGAATAGGACCGATTATGTAACATCATGACTAGATTAAAGTCGTAGAGAATCATCCTAATTCATAAAAACTGAAAACATGGACTGACAGTACCAAACATTTCTCTACCTTCAGAAACATACAAACTAACATGGGCTAGATCCATCACTTAGTTTACGCCTAGCACAATTTGCGGAAGGTATTGCACATGAACTGTAAAAAAAATAATTTAAAAAAAATTGTTTTAAAGGAAATGTACATAAACAATTATCTTTACTTGTAGGTGAAGTATTCATAATGTACAAAACTAGAAGATTCCTAACATTGACAATAGTACACTTTCAAATAAATAAATGGAATCTGTATTCACATGTCTTCAATAGCTAATCATGTGGGCAACTAAGTATCCAAGAACTTATCGAAATTTAGTGAGGTAGTTCATCAAAGCCTACTTAAAATCATGATGATACTTTTTTTTTGAGAGATGTGATGCAAAAGCAAAAGAAAGTCTACAAATTCCAAATGTGTCCCCAATAATGCTGGGCTAACAAAATTAAGACCACTTAAAATAACAAAAGAAAGTCTGACTTTTTTCTTGATTAATTATCTTCTTGTGTTATATAACACAGCTCCTATAATAATGGATAGATATCATTGGCTGTTATTCTGCATACCTTCCCCTTCCACAACACGTCATGTTGCCAAATGATCCACTAGATTACATTTTACATTCTGAAATGACTCCATCATTTAGGACAGGAATTCTTCAACACCACCACATAACATCTACACTGCCACAGCCATAGTAAACATTCAGCGCAAATACATTTGGTTTAATATAAATAGAGGAAATTAGGCAAGAAACGTCCCTCCTAAAAATCATCAAACACATTCTCATTATGCAAACCATACATGCCTACCAGTGATTGTTATATATTTTTAAAGTATTTTACTTTGATGAAAGACCTACATAAAACTGCCCCTTTCGGAAACTATTTCAAACGTATATTATGTGCTAAAATATTCCAAAGCATACATCATCCTCTTTACAGAACATAGTCTCCAACTTTTGGGTCATACCAATGCCGTAGAAAAATATACAATACATTTGTGATAACCGCCTCAAATGTGATTGACTTATTTGTGGAAACTACTATAGTCATTATCAGAAACCGTTAATAACCTATACACACCATGACTACGACTCCTCTTCCTAGATACTCAGGAATGAATGCTTGACAAACTACAGGCACTTTTTCCTTTTAAAAGCAAAAAATATATATATACACTGGAGGGACATTATTATTGCATACAGTTCAGAATCATTGATTAACTTGGATTTCGTGGTGGTTCTGTAACCATTTTGTGATGTACTGTACTAAGCTTAGTGTGAAATAGATTTAGTGCACACATGCATACACCTTCTGCAAAGGGCTTAGCCAATACCTTCTCTGAGATTCAGCTTATTACTTACATATTGTAAACTCATTATTTTCCCAATTAGAACTTTTCAATACGTTGCACGTTGGTGACCGCAAAAACAAAATCACTAAGGTATATTTATATTACATGAATAAAATTTGATCCAATTTTTTTTAGATTGTTTGTTTCTGCGCTTGCAGCCTGCAAAATCTCCATCCCTCCAAAGACAACCAACGTCACCACATACACAAACCCTCTCTACATGCATGGTTGGACTGAATCAAAGCACATTCTTCAGAGGACTCCTCACAAGTCATGTGTTCTAACTAGTCACATCCCATTTCTCATAAAGCTTCTCAGCATACGCCCATACAATAGTGCCACTGCCACATTTCTCAGTCCTAGTGTTTAACATAACCCCACTGTCAAAGCAAGAGCCACCTGGAGAAAAGAATCACTTAAGAATAACTGACCAGAGCAGACGAAGCAGTGCCTTCAGCTCTCTGACAAATAAAGAAAATTATCAAAAGCTCCTTAGTTTCCTTTCTGGACCTATCTGCATTATTTTGATCATATACTGGAATACCCATAAAATCTCAAAAGAAAATTCAGGCAAACATTTTACTGAAAAAAAGAAACACAAAATGTCTTCTCTTACCAAAACGGAAAATGGTTCAGGAATCAAACAGCATTTTGAGATATTTTAAGACTAAACTAATAAAAAACAAAGATTTAAAAAAATAAAGCTGTTATATCAACTTGGATTTTTTTTACAAGGAAGTAGTGACTCACAAGAGGAAAACAGTTCTAAAGTTTCTCGAAATTCAACCCAATGGATATATGCATTAAACACAAAATCCCATATGAAAAAGATAAAATAGGCAAAGTAATATTACTATTCTGAAGGGGAGTACTAAAATTATATGGTTGAAATGGCTTACTGCAAACTCAAATTGAAAATATATATTTACCATAAAATCTGTACAAACTCATTCTACATCGATATGGCCAGTTGAAATAGCAGTATCTTGAAATAAAAGTTGATGAAACTAAAAACACACAAAAAAAGCTTTTATAAAGCTTTTACAAATGTTCTCAAATTCTCACCATCGGTCGAAACCACAGCATAGTGAAATCATAACGATCTCAGGTTTAAAAAAATACATTACAGCCTGGACTCAAAAATCAAAAATCTAATAACTCAAATAACTCTGTAGCAGTAGTTTTCGGGAAAAATTATATATTTTTTAAACAGTGAAACTGGCCTAAACTCTACACCATTGAAGACAAGTGGCGGGACCAGTGGGACAGGGCCCAGGGCAGGGTGATAGTCATCTGCAGCAGCCCAGCGGGTCCGTGTTAGAGGCTGTCTCCAGGCTGCTGTCCGTGTCGGAAGCCAGGGTGGGGTCGGTGGACACATCGTTGACTGACGAGGACGATGTAGAAGGGTACTGCTGGGGGCCGCTGCTCACTGCTGCACCTGTGCTACATGTATGGAGAAACATTGAAGGGGCATCAAGTCAGACTTGAACCACAAATGACTTCTGGTTAGGCAATGACATTTCAGCAGACAGAAAGAGGAAAGGTTCTTAAAGAAATTAACATCGTCCTTCAAGCCAGATCTGGAGCAGAAGCCAATTATGGGCAGAGAGAGAGTGTCAGTCTCAATTTGTTGCTCCCACACCTAGTACTCTTGGACGAGGAGTTTTTCCTGACCACGGGACCTGACCAGGAAAAACACTGGGCCATAGTTACAGGCTATAATCAGAGTGGGAGTGCTCATTCCCTGTAGAGAAAACTCTCTAAACTAACCTAAAGACGCTGGCTGTCCCCGGATCACTCCATTCTTCGTTCTCTCCTCCCAGTCCTGGACCTCCATGTATATCAAATCTGTAGTGGAACACAACATTTGGTAAAAGAGAGCAAGTACAGTTGCAACTTTCGATAACTTCACCAAAACTCTCAGGTTTTCCAGAAATCCTGGTTGGAAGATTCCTGGAATCAGGAGGGAATAAGGAGGAAATCTGGGAACCCTACAACCGGGATTTCTGGAAAATCTGGGAATTTTGGGAACGTTTGGGTATTTTGCAACCTTAGACAAGAGACATAAACCTATGAAGAGCATGACAGACCGCAACACAGCAAGCATGATGTGACACAGGGAGTCGACACTTGAGAATAGAGCCAATAAACAGGGCTCTGTTAAACTCTGGGTGTCATTATCACGCTCCCAGAGGGATCAGGGTTAAATCATCAGACCAGGTTTAGATTATACAGGGAGGCAGGCGAAGGATACACCACACACTTCTCACTTTAGACTTGAGACAGGGATTTGTTAGGACAAACAGACATATACACAAAGGGGAAAACCTGAATGACACTCAAATATTAAGATTAAATGTCCCACAAGTTCATCGTGAGATGTAGATTCTTAGTAGAATAACGTGCAATTGTAATGTAACATAATGCAAAAATGTAAAAGTGCTCAGAGTGTATGCGTCAAAGCATGGGTAAGAAAAATGGCTTCGCTCTCTCTACAGTACCTTTCCACTCGTCCACTGTGTGTTCCCTCTCATCCAGCTGCTTGTCGGTGATCAACGGTGGGGGCTGCAACAGGAAGAGGACAGAACAGAGTGTACTGTAAGTGGGGTGACACAGGGACTGATGACCTTCTCTTCACTTGGCTGAGTCACATTCAAATGTGTGCAAGGCGCCGCTGCACTGCTGCCAAATCTACACGTCTCAAGGCTGATTTTGTCCGTTTTGAGGACTGGTGAGTGACTAAGGGGAGTGCAACATTTCATTCTTCACCCACACACTGCACGGTAGCCGAGGTGGAGATTTCGTGACTGAGGAAAAACAGGTTGACACATCCAAGTGCAATCTCTGTGATGACGACATGCCTGTCAATGGATGTCAAATCCAGAGCACCTGCTTTCAGCGACGGCCTGATAAACAGTCAGAGACGATTATCATCTGATGTGGGCTAAGCCTTTTGCAGGCAGGCAAACTCACAGGGCTTGCATGTTCCCTCTTATTGTGAACCACCACTAAAAGTGTTTTTTAGAAGCATGCGCACACATTAAGACACACACACAGTAGATCTGAAGAGTCATGTTATTATCTAACATAAGAATAGACAACACAAGAACCACCCCTCCATGCCCACATAATGAGCAAGTAAGTGCTTACCGCCTCCACTTCAGTTGGATCATACCACACGTTGATGTAGGGGTGCTGGAGAGCCTCGCTCACAGAGATCCGTTTGGAGGCATCTATTACCAACATCTTTGATAATAGGTCTCTGGCTTGACTTGCTGCGAGGCAATTAAGATGAATAGAGAAATTAATGGCATGGGCAAATTCCTCCTCCTTCACTCGGCTGACATTCACTGTGCTGATAAAGTAGTGTAGTGGGCCAGAATAGAGTCCCTTAGTCAAACATGATCAGAATCAAAGCGGAGTAAGGCTTCAAACCACTACATAAAATACTGTATTAACCATCATCTAACTTGACTACTTTCTGTGGAATTAACAATTGATCACCTAAGTAAGTCGGACTCCATTAGTTAGCGCATATCAGAGAAAGTTTTAGGCACGTAATGTACTTATATTCAGCAAATAACTAACTATACATTTAGAATATTTTTGTCATACAAACATGTAGGAGACATGTTGCATCTCACAACTGGCACCTCACAATGACACACAATACTGCAGTTGTCATGCTTTGGGTGTCCCCCAGGGGGGTGTGCTCTCCACATTTACCTTTCAGTTTATTGTGCTCCGAGTCGGCTGGGAAGAGGACGTCGGGGAAGAGCTTCTCAAAAGTGTAGCCGACATAGCGTGGTCTGTTCTCCACGTAGGTCCTCACCGACTGGTTGAGCTTCATCAGGAACTCCTGACTGGGAGTCCCCAGCTGCTCGATCACCTTGCTCCACTGATCAATATCTGACGTTCCAACATGTAAGAAAAACGCTGCACAGGGCTTTTCACAAGAGGGACGATTGACAAAGTTTTGGGCTTGTAGTTAGGATAAAGAAATCGGTTGTTGTGGAGGATTATGGACACTGGACACATGGCTAATTTATTTCACTGTTGCCTTTGTTGAGCAACTGTGATTGAGTAATCAAGGGAAAGCTGTTTGATCGTCTTTTCTCTCATGAGACGGACACACAAAACACTGAAAACAGAACCACAAGCCTCAGTGCGGGACTGTATAATGAGGTGAAGTGATCAGAACAGTTTTCCCTTGAGTTGAAATGGCCTCCGACAGGTACAAACCATAGACTTAGATAGACATGGCATCATGGTATCCGTCCCATTATGGCGTCTGTGAGAGCACGGGCAGCGCCATTGAGGCCATCTACATTTTAAAGTAGTCAATTATCTTCTTCTACTAGTTGTAGGAGTTGGCAAACAAACTGAAAGGGTGCATACTGCCATCTAGAGTGAGTTATTTGAACCGGTATAAGCCAAGGTTGGTGATTTACTTTCATCTGAAGTTATAGAATGTTTCCTCACAAGTATAATTAATTGGCTGATCCCTCCTGGTGATCTGGATGGAATTATGTGATCCTTCCTTAACCCATAGGAAGTCCCACCTAGTTGACTACTTAAAAATGGTGAAAGTCCTCAATGGCGCTGCCCATGCTAAAACAGGTTTTAGTATCTATCTATATGGTACAAACCCATTCACATATACCCAACCCAATGGAAATTAATTTGTATGCAGTAGTAGGGCGGTCTCACCACCACAACACACACACTCTTTCACACACATAACAAATTCACACACACAATGGAGGGACGATGAGGGTCCAGGTAAGGATACGATCTGTGCCAGGGAACAACACACTACCTCGGACCATTTCTGCCATGATGCAGCCAATAGACCAGACATCAACTGAGAAATGAAATGACAATACAATTAGCATGCAGAAATCAAAACAATCAAAATGAAAAATAATAAAACAAGGAATGAATAATGATGCAGACAAGGTGATGTTGTGTGACAAAGAAAATGAACACATGCAAACACTCATGTCAAACCGCTAAGCAGTGCATCATGATACGGTGTGGGTTTTTTGGTTCACTCTCAGAGAACTGCCTACATACCACCCTCAAGATTCTCAGTGGGGTAAATTAATACTATCAATTAAATAGACAAATGCCAATATTAGATCATTGATAAAAGCCCTACCAGTCCACCATATACAGTATATAAGATATTCTGTGTTAGGACAGTGTCCATTTAATATTTTCTGCCCAAATGGCTGTTTATCTTTGAAGAAGAACGGCAAACAATAATATGAGATAAGAGGGTATCTTTTGCAATTGCATTTCTTGGTACAAATGAAAGAGCAAACCATCGTTGAATTCTATTTCAGGTGCTTGATGTGTGAGTCAGAGGTGCTTCAAGCTACAGTGCTGTGTGCTTGGGGGATAGAGTGAAGGTGTGGGGGTTGGAAGTGGGTGAGGAGGTGTCAGGCATATCAGAAGAGAGATAGAATTTCGACAGTTGCTCTTTGACATATAAACTTGGTGACGTTTTCTTTTTTTTTATGCAGAACTGAACTGCTGCAAGCAGCACAAGGATACAATCCTTTCCTGGAAAAAGGATTTTGTGGCGAACCATTTCTGCCATAATGCAGCCAACAGCCCATATATCCACTAAATATGTGTAGCATGGAAAGAAGGAGAAGAAAATAAGCAAAGCAACAAGTCAGCAGGAAAGTTTGGGTCATTTTTGGTCAAGAGTACAGCGATGGCCATATTTCCAGGCAGTTGAAGTTGAAGTTAAATAAACTTTTTCCCGTATTTGAGCGCTGAATTTAATCGCACAACAAACCGAGTCCAATGATTTGGAGATATCAAGCCCCGTCACATTTGCACATAAGACATTCTTGCAGAACATTTTAATTGTTAAAGGCATGCGCACTAAAGTGAGCTAGTGCATCCATAAGTGACTGGATTCACACTGACATCTAGTCCAGCTGCACCATCTCTGGACGTCCTCTTAGAAAACACAAGTGCTACATCTGCTGTGCACTGGCTCTCTATACAGGAGGAAAGGAACCCACAATGCATAGCCAGGCATGCCACCATCAGGGTGGTGTGGCTGTGAGGGTGGGTCTCAGGATATTGTGGGCGCAGCATGCGAAAGGCAGCGTTCTGCGGCACGCACAGCTCCGATGATCGGTCACTCACTCACCGTTGGCCTGGTAACCCATGCCCAAGATGACTTCAGGGGCGCGATAGTAGCGGGTCACCACATACGGGGTCATCAGGAGGCCCGTGGCCGCTGTCCTGGCCAATCCGAAGTCCAGGATCTTCAGTGTGCAGTCCGACTTTACCACGATGTTGCTGGGTTTCAGATCCTGAGGGTGGGGGCCAGGAGGGGATATGGTTTAAAGATATGGGATTTGTGGATAACTCTCTATAAATGTCAGGCTAGGCAAGGCGTGCGTGTGTCTACCCTGTGTATGATGCCCGCGGCATGAAGGTGTTTGATGCCACACAGCATCTGGTAGAGCAGATAGGACAGCCGCTCGTGGTCCAGCTCCATCTGAATCACCTGGCACAGGTTGGCATCCATCAGCTCCATCACAATATAACTGGGGACGGATACAGAGGAGAGGGAAGGAAGGGTGGGTGAGATGACACGTACACACTCACAAACGTATGCATACACAAGCAAACACACACAGATACACCCAAACACACGCAAGAATACACACCGATTACACGTCTCTCACACACACACAGGCTGCTCCTCCATCATAGTGAAATGGTCTGTGTACCCTCAGGCTATGATTTGTTCATTTTTATTTTTTAGCTCCAATCAGGCAGGCAGAGATTCTCACAGTTCCTCCGCTCTGAGAATTAATCACATTTCGTCCCATGCACTGCAATGTACTAACCCATCTGTTATCCCACAATAGACCCCATCCCCACTACCATACACTGCACAAAACAATTGTTTTATATACTTCTTGCCATTTCAGCACTATAGCCTACCAGGGAACACTGAGCACATACTATTGTAATTTGTGCTTGTTTATTTTATAACTAAGGGCGATGATGACGTTACTTACACATCTTGAAACTCCTCCAGTGTCTTCTGTGACGTGAATACATTTAATAAGCCAATAATCTGTGGAGTTACAAAAGGCATCAATGCATCATGGTTCTATGAGCAGCATATGGAGGAACATTGTATTTAATGCTGACAATACGCTGCTTAAGGGTGCACTAAAACTACAGAAGGGTTCTTTGCTAAATGGATAAGACTACATAAAATAGGCAATGAACATTTGAAAAATGTAAACATCAAGAATTCATGTAAAAGCTACAAGAGGATAGCAACATTTTAGAATGATCTCTGTAGTGAAAATACGATGCATTTTACATTTTGGTTAAATGGTACAACAGTCGCTGCAGTCTACTTTCTTTTCTATAAATTCGGACAACTCCCTGTCCCACTTGCACTCCCCCATTTGCTATCACAGATTCAGAGAGAGGTAAATAGCTTACGTTCTTATGGTTGACACATTTCATGAGCACCAGTTCTCTGTAAGCTCTTTTGGCATGGGTCTGGTTCTGGAAAGGCCGGCTGAGTTTTTTTATTGCAACATTTCGTTCAAGGTTGTGGTCATATGCTGAGCTGGAAACACAAAATATAACAGGTTATTCCATACTGCATGATGCAATCTGAAGAAGGTGAGCATGGCCAAACATAAATATCTTTCATCCTTTTTTAATAAAATATGTTGTTTTTTTTAACTAGGAGGCATGTGAGTTGTTCCTACTTTCCCACATCCTAGATCAATAACAGGGTTCAAATTATCTAAGTGTAATACTGGAACAATGGTATACAAACAACTTGCAGCAGCTAATAAAATATCATATTGACTTCCAATGCCATTTAAAATAGCTAGCAAATGGTTATGTTAGATAGATGTTATTTTCCAAAGTTACACACACAACATAGCCACTTGATCATGCGAATTGGGCTACAGCGCATCTCTTTTCCTTTCTAATTCACAGCTCCGTCTACTCACCAGACAATTCCCTGTGCTCCGGAACCTATGGGTCTTAAATTCTGGTAGCGCTTCAAAACCGTAAAAGTGGAATCACCAACGTCTAAACTGTAAAACTCCTTTTCACGCTTATTCCGATTCATGATGAAATCTGGACAAAGTGTGTATTTTGGGCATCCAAGTGGAACTTCTGTCTCAAGACCTAAGACAGAGGGAAAAGAAACAGGAAGATAAAAAAAAATAGTGTGCATATTATCAGTTTATTACCTGGGCATTCCAAGCCATAGTTGTTAATCTATGGGAATTTGATTGGCATAGGCTGCATTGAGTGTAAAAAAATGCATGAGGAGAAATTATTCAGTATGTGAAGGCAATCAAGTCCTCCCTGTATAGCAATGACATTTGGATCATTTAGGCAAGCTAGGGTATACTGTTTTACACATACAGTAATCTAAAAAGGTTTAAATGCATTACAATACATTATAGTTCTGGGTTTATAGGATTAGCTGGTATGAGCGAATTCATACAGAAAATATCCCATCATAGAACAATATACTGTAACAATCCATTGCAGGATTTGGATTACAGCTTTCATAAATGTAAAACCAGAGCACTGCAAAGCACAAAATCAGCCCAGCAAACTGCTTGGTACTTCCAATCAATTGTGGTCTAAACAGGGACCAATGTTTCAGCCACAATTGTGTTTGTCTTAGCTAGGCCAAACATTCAGGTCAACAAATCCATTGCATACATCCTTTCTCTACAGCTTAAAAAAGGCCTTTCCTGAGGTTTGTGTAAGTTCTTTGCTAGCATTTAAACATAGCAAATTAAAAACAAAACACTTTAGTTGCTTGCTTGGCTGAGATATGGGGCAGCGCTAGAAAAGTTTATCACAAGCCAATAGAGAAATCACACGGCTATCACATCGAGAGGGACTAATACCACTGTCCGATGCCCATTTGAGCCTGCAAAAATATTTATTGAAGACTCATTGCTCAGGCAAATGGAAGGAAGGAGTGAGGCAGAGAGAGAAAATGAGAGGGAGGGAGTGCTGGATTTGATATGGAGTTAGAAGACAAATCATTACTCAAATTTAGGCCATTTTCACTGGCTAATGGCTGCACAGTCGACAGACCATAACTTGACCTCCATATGCCTATACAGCCACCCTCCCCCTCCTCTTTTCTCCTCTCCACATGAAGGGGTGTTGAGCATGGGTTTTTCATCCCGGATGAAAGGCATGTCAACGGCCTGAAGCCGTGCTATGAGAGGGACTAAAAAATGGTTTGGAGGAGCCTGAACAGAATGCTTTACCGACACAAAGGGAAGTGAAATCACTCCGTGCAATCGGTCCATGCAAATGTGCACTCTGGAGCAGAATGGATGGCGGTGCGAACAACTGGATGACCATGGCTATACAGTGGGACTGAATTGAATGATATGCGTGTCATTGTATTAAAACAACATGAATGATACTATTTTGATTCACATTATCAATGGAAATGTGAGCATTTCATCATAATTCATTCGTGAAAAGCTAATAGACAGGATAAAAACACTAACACATACTGTATGCAACAAGGTGTATTAAAAACAGGAGACATGGAGCAGTAGAAGCTCAAAGTCTTGGTGTAACATTAATGACATTTGGTCTTTAGATGTGACACTTGGATAGATGAGTGCTCCTTCAAATCACAGAGATTCTGAGAGAAACTGAGAGAATTTGCGATAAGAGGGAGGCAGAGAACTGTAGCCAAGAAGCATGTCGTCGTCGTGGACAACATCACCCACCCACAGGTGAAGGCTACATCATCTGTCACGTGTTTCAAGGTCTCGCTCTAAATCACAAGTTTGTGGTGTGGGGCATTTCAGTAAAATGGCGGCCATTGCATTCACAGCAATAACTGAAATGCCTAACAATCCATGTCTCTCTATCATGCCACAATGCCCAGCTGGGGTCTACATCTAACCTCAATTAATATGACTTCTCACATTATCTATGTGGTTTTCACAAGCCTACTTTTCCAGCTAATGAAGACACTGAAGTCCATCACCACTGAGAGCAGCAACGAGCAACATCGGAATTAGAAGCAATTTGTCAAATACCCCTGGCTGCATCTGTTATGGAGGTCATTCTTCTATGACACACCTTAGGCTGGAATGGCCAATGAAGGTTTCCAACATCTTTCAAAACAAAATGCGACAGTAATCTTTACCCAAGTGTTATCAATCGTTAATCGAATGGATAGACAGTCAAAGGAAGATATGATTTAACCATATTTACATGATTACCATAATTATAATTATATTAATAGCGTTCTTATTATTATCGATAGACGGTTATGTCGATGTGACAGCTGCCTGACCATAACACCGTGGATTAATTATTCTGCAATGTTTTAGGTATATTGGATGAAATGTATTCGATCCAGATATGTTGACGACATCAACCATCAAAAGTGTTACAATTTTACATAAACTGCTGCTACACCTTTCACTTGTTTAATAGACATCGACTTGACGCACTAGTAGAATAAGTAAGCCTGCAAACACAAGTTTATACTAGTCAATTGGTGATAGGCTAATTGTCAATAGCCCATTTATTTACCGAATGGTGAGCATGTGTTTCTTATTTCAGAAATGTAGCATGCCAAATGTAACCAAGCCATTTATGTTGTCAGTATCTGCTGCGAAGATAGGTAGTTGTTACAATGTAACACTAGCAGGTAGTTACAGTCTTGTTACAATGTAGCGTATTTTATAGCCTCTCGTGTGCATTTATATTAATCGCGCATTGAGAAGTATCCAATACCCATATATTTTAAGGCGGTTCACGTCTTTAAAATTGCAATAGGCCTATAGGCCAAAACTCGATAATATGTTCCAGCAAGCTGGTTGCAGCTATTTACTGTATTTTATGTGTTCCTTGCGACCCATCAGTGCTAATACCCTCCCCCACTGCTAACAATAACATGTATTATAAAGGTTTCAAATAGAACTCACCTCACTCCAAAAGAACCCGTTAGTAATTCCAAAACTGTCAAACCGCGGTTTCTGATCTTCCGTTTAAATTTGCAGCAGAATGTTTGAATATCTTATATTATTTTCTTCTTAGTAAGACAACCTCTGAATCCACTGCGTTTCCTTCCACTGGCAGGCCTGGATCTGCAAAGTACATGTGTACTACGTAACCTAATCTTTGAGCTTCCGTGACACAAACAGTTTCTGCTATTTCATACCGACGTCGTCGAAACCTTGCGATGTTTTCCGGTTGCGGATGAGAACTGGGTGACATTCAAGAGCGCAACGCCCTGCAGTGTTGCATAGCCTACCTCCCGTGTGTATTCTCTGATTGTGCTGTATGCAACATTATGCAGGACAAATTAGAGGCATTTAGGCATTCTAGTTCTCATCTCGCCATAATAAACACACGCGCTGAAGTTTATTGAGAGAGAAAGAGAGAGCAAGATAGAGAGGAGAGAGAGAAAGACAGAGAAATAGAGAAAGAGTGTGTGTTTGTTTGTGTGTGTGTGTGTGTGTGAGAGAGAGAGAGAGAGAGAGAGAGGGGGAGAAAGAGAGAAAGAGATAGTGTGTGTGAGAGAGAGAGAACAGAGCAAACTAGAATGCTATTTGGCCCTAAACAGAGAGTACACAGTGGCAGAATACCTGACCACTGACCCAAAATTAAGGGAATCTTTGTACAAACACCATTGTAAATACAACCTATATATTTTTTAATTTAGTATTTATTTTCCTTTTTGTACTTTAACAATTTGCACATCATTATAACACTGTATATAGGCATAATATGACATTTGAAATGTCTTTATTCTTTAGAAACTTTTGTGAGTGTAATGTTTACTGTTAATTTTGTGTTGTTTATTTCACTTTTGTTTATTATCTAGTTCACTTGCTTTGGCAATTTGAATTGAGAGAGAGAGAGAGAGAGAGAGAGAGAGAGATAGAGAGATAGAGAGAGAGAGAGAGAGAGAGAGAGCGTAGGTGTCTATTTTTTATGTATTTATTTTTAGTTTATTTAAAAAAAATTTTTTTTTTTTTTTTTTTTTTTTATATATTTTTTTAAATATATATATTCCCCTTTATTACTTTTCAACCCCACCATCCTTTCCCTACTTGGAGTAAATTAGTGAACAACAACGCCCAGGCCTCTACTTCCGGTCTATACTTACTATCTACACCTTATGGACAGAGTTAATTTTACAATAATTCTATATCTATATCTATATATATATATATATATATATATATATATATATATATATTTATTTTTTTGCTCCTGAACTTCTTCTACTCTCAACCTCTCCGATCATTTTCATGATGTCCATCCGGTTTGCTTCTAAATGCCATATCTTTCTAACTGTGCTCTTTCCCAAAAGCTCCCAACATACAACCTATATACTTATTATGGACACAGTATGCTTACATTATTAGCTATCTTTGTTATTATTTGTTGTTATTAGCGTTGGTGTCTTTAGCAAACAACAATCACACATGATTTTCGAAGTTCTCATAAAAAAATAAATAGGCCTATTATTAACATAATTTGGGTTAGTAGAACTGAGCGGAACAATACTTGTCTCACCTTTCAACTCACTGTTCAACTGACAGTTTGGGTGCGGTTCCTCTGCCTAGGCGTTGCTGACTCCTGCCAGATCTTACAACGGCTGGAAAGGTATTTATCAGGTAACGTATCAGCTAACCACATCATATGTTATAGCAATCTGTCAGTCAATGACACATTTGATGTTGTGGCACGCAACCATTGGTTGATGCATGCAATGTCTGAGCAGGGGAACACGACCATTAGCTACAGTCTATGCTGCTCAGAGCGCTTGGCCACACCAATTGGTTGCGCACTGCCTTGCCACTTGTCAAACCGCTCCTGCATAATCCAATTGAGTTCTTATAGCTGGAGTCTAAAAATAGTCCAAATGAACAGAAACACAGTATGAACATGTCATTACGTTTGAGTACAGAACATTATATGCTATGGAGAAAATGTGTTATTTTCACACTGTCCTGTGATGGAATTATGGATGGATAAATGAAAAATCGTCTGATAGGCTAGAATAATTTGCCGATGGAGAGCACAGCCACAGGTGGAATGCCATTTGATGCTTGAGAGGATTACATTCGAGCTGCAGGTATTCTGAAGAAATTAAGAGGGACTTCTTCAGAT